TCGACCACTTCTGTTCGAAGCAAATACTTAACCTAACTTTTCAGGAAGCGTTCCCAAACTAAATTAACCCCCAATAAAATATGCCACAGTTCCATATCTCTTATTTCTGCAGTTTATTGAAGTATTCTATTTAAATAGTTATATATTATAATGTAATTCTTTTCTAATTGTCATATATATTACTGTACACATTCAACTATTTTATAAAGCCCTCAAAGACAAGAACTGTGTCTCTTTTCTAATGGCCATAATTATGTTTCCAAAGCTGGAATTTAATAAATACTTGCTTAATAAATCTATTCTAAAACCGTCAGAAAGAGAAGCATAATAAGTTATGTAAATATACACAAAACAAAACACTGTAACACAAACAAAAACTATATAACCTATGAAATTAAATAAGTATTTTTCAGAATAAATAACCTATTTGTTGGCATAGTGTTTATTTTAATAATAGCTTTTTTATAAGAAGAGAATGAGTTACAGTGGAAATGACACTGGGATAGTACTAGAGTTGGAAAACCTAGGCTCTGACCCACTCTCTGCCATATACCCACCATTTAACTTTGGGCAAATCACTTAACCTCTCTCAAACACTAATTACTATGTACTCTGCCAAGTTTACATGATTATTATTAGAATTCAATAGGATAATATTTGAAAGTGCTTAGAAATTTATAAACATTTGTATAAATGGTATTATTTTAATGATGAATATACCCTCCAATTTAAGATAACATTTTATTTTAAAATGTGAACTTCCAAAAGAAAGAAATTAGGGATTATTTGTGCTATAGAATTCATTACTGAAGAAAATAAATCACTACAAGGTTTAGCAACTCAAATTATTAAAATATGAGTTGACTGTCAAAAATGTGCTTCATATTTGATTTTTGAGGAAGACATTTATTATACAAAGTAAGGCAGATATTTGAATCAAGCCACAATATCATAATCACGAGCTCACCTATGTCACAAAATCAGATGCATGTATCCGGCTCCATTTTACAACCTGTTACAATGCACCACATCCCACAGTTGAAGGAGTAAACCAGCACATGCAGACAATACTACAGTCGACTCCTGGTTTAAAACGTGATTATCCAGGACACAGAACAATCCGATGTATGTAAGAATTCCTAAATTTCTTTCACAGACCTACTGCTCATGGACATAAAGAAGCAGTGGGAGCAGCTGCAAGTAGGCTAAAACACATACGCTTATTTGTAACACTAGTGACAGAGTCAATTATGAAAAAAAATCAGGATTTGTTTGGGTAATCATTAAATTCATTTTCAAATCAACAAATTACCACAAGTATCCAGACAGACCAAAAAGTTCTAGGCAATTTCCCTTCATCTTGCCACATCTACCTATAAACCACTTCAAAGACAACATTACAGCAAGAGTCAGCTACTTTACTGAAATGGATTACAAACTTTCTGATCCTTGTTTTTATGCCCTTATGTGGGTGAGAATTTTAGTCAAGGAGTATCTGAAAGGCAGATCTATTCAAAAAGGTCACGAACACAAACGACCAATTGGAGATTCAAGTAAATTAGCAAACTCCCCCTTTTAGAGGGGATTCAAGTAAATTAGCAAACTCTCCCTTTTAGACTCCAGATTCCTCCTTTAAGATTCCCCCTTTTAGATTCAATTAGCAAACTCCCCCTTTTAGAGGCTGCCATAATCCTTTAGCTTTGAGGTCCATCCCAATAAAGGAAGGGGAATGAAGTAAAGAGAAACAAGGAGGGCGGCATGATGAGGACAGGAGGGAGGAGGCCTTAGTTCCTAGTTTTGGTTTTGACCCTCTGGATAAGTGGCTTTAGGTTCATCACTAAACTTTAATCAATGTTCTCATTCATTCAAACAACAAATATTTCTTCAGAGCCTAAAAAAATGAGCTTTTTTAGGGTTTCTCAGCGCTGACTGCACATTAGAATCATCTGGGAAGATTAAAAAAAAAAAAAAAAAAAGTCCCTTGGCTGAGATTCTGATTTAATTGGTCTGGATTAGGGCCCAGGCATACGTTGAAAAACAAAAAACCAAAACAAACAAAAAAAAATTCTCTTGCAATTTTAATGTGCAGCCAGGGTAGAGAACCACTGGTCTATTTTATCTCATGTATATGTTGGAAGCAGCAAAATAATTCAAAAAGCCCTCCTTACTTCTTTTGAAATTTATCAATTTCCCCTTATTCAATATTATTTCAGGCCAGATTCTCACCACCTCTCACCTAAATTAACAGAATAATTTAACTATTTTCCCTTCCTTTAGTCTCTTCCCAATCCAATAAACCATTAAATACTTGTCTATAACTAATCAGTTTGGTTCAGAAACATCATCTCACTGAGAGTCATTTTAAGTATAACAATATCACCAAACAGAACTGTCTTCATCAAAGAGAGATTATACTGTGTGTATATGTAGATATATGTTTGTGTGTAAACATGCTCTATTTTTCTTCAGTTCTGGTGTACCTACCTTCATTTATACATAATAACAGAGGTCTCTTTACATTCAAAAATATTGCCCCTAAATATTCCATGGCTGAATTTTTTCAAAAACAAATGGCAAATGAGTGACCCACAGATATCTCATTTAAATGAAACAAAGAGCAGAACAAGATCTTTTTCACTCTGATTTTTGAAGTGTTCCCACAAGGAACATACATTCAAGTGAAAAGAAAAAAAAAATGTAAAAGGAAATGGAATTATTTCAAGAAGTCCTGTGTTACTGTTGTTCACACTGATAAAGTTTCTGATGAATAAATGTTTATCAAGAATAAATATAGTTTTAGTTTGTGTTGAAACTTGCCTCAGAAAACCAACGGAAAGCTTAAAAGCCAAAGGTTATAACCGAAGAAGATGATATTCATTTTTATGAGAAATATTATCAAAAATAATGAAAACATATAATGAGAAGACTGAACAAGTATATGGCTTATTCCCTGTCTTTAAGGGGTTCTCCATCTTCTCAGGGATAGCAAGACACAAACATAGAAAGAAAATAAAGCCAGTACTGCCAGTAAATAGTAAAGACAATTAAGTACCATGGGAATTCAAAGAAACAGGAGACTGCTGTGGACTAAGGGAGTTGGAGATAGCTTCTTGGAAAAGCTGGGGCTTGAAAAAAATTAAATAGGTGGAGAAAAGAAGGAAATCTCAAGCATGCAGATGACGTTATACAAACATGAAGCAGAAATGCACAAAATATATTTAAGTGACAGGGAGTTGATATAGTTGGAACAGAGGTTTCTATGTAGAAGCGTTTGGGGAAACAAAGTTGCAATAATTAAGTTGGATCCAGAGAATGAAAGCCCTGAATGCCAGGTTAGGACGCTTAAACTTTGTCATGCAGATAGAAGGATCTTTTATAGATCAGAGAGAACAATAAGCAAAAAAAAAAGAAAGAAAAAGAAAAAAAAAATCCCTATAATGATGCAGTGTGAAACCATTTTTCCTGAAGTCTTTGAAGAAGACACTAAGTAGTATATCTTGCCAACACAGTCATGAATATGTGAACATACTGTTTAGGAAATCTGTTCAGAGTAAAGGAGTAAATTCTCAAACGTGCTTTCCAAAATACAAAATCAGTGATCAATTACGCATTCATAGTTCTCAGGATAATTCCTGAGAGAATCACTGGGTGGAAAACTTCAATTTAAGTTTTCCTCCTCTAACACACATACTTTGATTTAGTATCTAGAAACTGAATATACTGAAATTGTCTTGTTCTGAAAATAAAAGATCTTTTACTACTTCTCATATGGGTGAGTTTACTTACCATATTGTTTCAAAATCACTACATCTATTAAAATAATTTTGTCCATGGTTTATTTAGCAAAGCAGATGAAAACAGACAAATAAATAACAAAGTTGAAGATTATGAAAAGCAACCCTTTCATCAAACCAAAACATACCTAGAATAATCAGCATTGGTTTATAAGGCAGAGGGGAAAGAGTGTGTTCATAACAAAAAATGCTAGCCACAACAAAGACTACAGAAGAGTATATGAAGAACATTACAATAGCCGATTTCTCATCTAAAATGATAAACCATTAATCCGCAACTCCACAAAGAATGGAGTTAATTTTATTCTCAAACATGCCTTAATTCTGGCTCTTTCTGCTACAAAAATTAAGACAAACATAACTCAAAAGAAGGATTATCTTTCCCCTAGTAACCAGACATATAAGTGATTGATGATTTAATTTGCCACTGAAGCAAATACTAATTTAACCACCACTACTTTCTCTGCAGAAGGAAAATGAAAAATCTGTCTTTAAAGGCATACGTGACAAGAAAGAAGCCAAGAATATCCCGAGATGATTAAACCACACACAAAATAACACAGAAAAACTATGGCAATACTGCTGCTGTACTCTGAAAGGGATATGCCATTCTTGCTGGCACATATGTAGAGATTATAAGTTTATGTATTTTCTGGGTTTGGTTTTGTTTTCCAGGAAAGATGGGTACAACCAGGAGAGTTGAAAGAAGTGCATTAAGGAAGGTGCCAATACCTCCCTCCCACCCTTACTGGGGAAACTCGCTTTAACAATAATGCTCTTCCACCCCTAACATCCTACTCAGTTTCCACACATCCTTCAGCCAGCATTTCCCCCCTGCCGTGTTTCCTGCATTTGCCCCACACGTTCAGAACAGGCTGCTCCGACTTTGTTAGTCTCGCCGCCCCCGCGCACCCGCCCAGACCAGCAGAGTCCAACAACGCAGCCACGCAGCCACCCACTCCCCCACCTCCTCCTTCGCTGCCCAGCTTCCCCTCCCCCCGTCCT